TTCTATACCAATGTGTTCTTACTAATATGAATTTTTCTGTGTTGGTGTTGTGTACTCAGGTGAATAATATGCTTGTATTGTATAATGGGCTAGTATCCCAAAGGTCGTAGGTTCGAATCCCACCGTGGCCGGGCATATTTTTCAAGCTCGCCCGGTGTGGATATTCACTCAGAGTAACATCGCAAGCATATTATTCACCTGGGTACACAACACCAACACAGAAAAATTCATATTAGTAAGAACACATTGGTATAGAACGAACTAGATACTGTTCCGAAATATCACTTACTCGAACCGTCCTGACCGCGTAGCTCAGTTGGAAGAGCATTGGGCTAGTATTCCAAAGGTCGTAGGTTCGAATCCCACCGTGGCCGGGCATATTTTTCAAGCTCTCCCGGTGTGGATATGCACTCAGAGTAACATCGCAAGCATATTATTCACCTGAGTACACAACACCAACACAGAAAAATTCATATTAGTAAGAACACATTGGTATAGAAGGAACTAGATACTGTTCCGAAATATCACTTACTCGAACCGTCCTGACCGCGTAGCTCAGTTGGAAGAGCATTGGGCTAGTATTCCAAAAGTCGTAGGTTCGAATCCCGCCGTGGCCGGGCATATTTTCCAAGCTCGCCCGGTGTGGATATGCACTCAGAGTAACATCGCAAGCGTACAAAATACTGTAGTGCAAAAAGCAAATTATTTTCATGAAGTATCTGTCAGTTGAAGTCATCATTTGTCATACAACAACAAATTTTAAATTTGACCAATCAGTGTTCGTTATCCATGACAGTCCGCCATATTTTTGAGATCAGTGAGTATGACCACCCACTCAAGTTCGTTGGTCACGCCCGCGATATTTGATGAACTTTAGACTTGGCCAATGCTTTCGTTTCCCCGGGTGTAAATAGCCGGGGGGAATTAGTACTCTCGCACGGCGCTTCGCGCCGCCGGCTCGGGGACAATACATTTAATGGACTGTTCTGAAAAGGATCAAATAATGCAAAAGTAGCGTAACAGCTAACAGTGAAAATATGTTGGTTTAACCAAAGGCATCTCTGATCAATTTATGGAAACCATGTCAATGTTTCAATCACACAAGTGAAAGCCTACCGTGTTTAAATATCGTTAAATAATAATAAAATAATAAATAATATAATAATGTCAATGTTTCGATTTATCGAGACCATGTCAATGTTTGGACTTATCGAGACTATGCCAGTGTTTCGATTTTTCGAGATCATATAAATGTTTCGATTTATCAAGACCATGTCAACGTTTCGATTTATCGAGACAAAGTCAATGTTTCGATTTATCGCAACCATCTTAATGACATCTAACATAACCTAAATCAACATATTTAAGAAAAAATAATATTAAAATATAAAAATATAAAAATAAATATAAAAATAAACAAAAATAAATACACATAAATAGAAAATATATAAAGCACAATGCATTTAGGTGAAAACTATTGTGCTTATTATCAAAATGTTAAATATCTAAATAAATTCACCAACAAACTATAAATAAGACTTACCGCTTAATGAAATATAACCTTATATACTGTTAGATAGAGTAATATAATGAAAGGGCAGTAGGCTAGTAGGGTGCATTTAAGTTTTGTACTGTAATGCTCCTCAAAATGTAAGACTGTAAAGCTGGATGAATGTAAAATATCACATTTATTACCATATGTAAATTAGTTGGGCAGACCTCTGCACTTATTACATTACTCTGTCCAGTACAAGTTGACTTCACAGTGTTCTTTTTCTATATAAACATAACTAATATGTTATTCAACAATGAGTTCATCGTCTAGCATGTAGTGTCAGTATATATATATTTTCTTTTCCTTATGCAAGTCAAAGGCTACAAGAAATATACAATCTGGCAAACATCTATCCAAGGATCATGTTTATCAGCCAATGAAAAGACCATTTCTTGCTGATGAATCCTTTCCGATAATGAATCTCGAATGAAGATCATCTAGCGTCACCAATGACTGGTGTGTTATACATAGCCCTCTAAATTTGCACAGAAAAAGATTGCTCATTAACATAATCCTAAGTAAAATTGATATTATTAATGAATGGTGATTATGGGAAACGCTATGTATTTTCATAAAACACAGAATGGTAATTCTACTTTTCGATTATATTTTAGTCATCCTCAGCATTGGATCAAATTAGACACATTTATAACAGTGCCTTGAATTGTATACCCTAGTTGCAGTTATCTTTTTCTTAACGAAGTGGCTATTCGTACTGGAGTATAGCACCCGATTAGTAATACAAAATAGTTTTTTGCAACAGCTTCTAACGAGCTTGCCACTAGCGTATCCGGCAAAGGCATTGCGTGTGTGCGAAGTGAAACGAGGTCGGGCCCGGGTTTAGTTTTAGCCGTCAGTTTTCTGTTTGTCTTAGAAATTTTTCTTAAAATATTTTAAAATCCCCCCCCCCACTTTTTAAACTTTGTTTTCTTAATGATGCTATGCCTATTCATAGAACACTGATCAATCTCACAATGCTTTCATTAAAATTAAAATGCCCAGTTTCATGCAAATTTCAATTTTGACCAATCAGTGTTTGCTATTCAAGACAGTCCGCTACATATTTTGAGATCAGTGAGGAAGACCACCCATGAACGGCTACCTCCTCCGCAGTCCTTTCTCCGGGGAAATTTGCGGGCGAAAATCGAGAATATGTGTAGAAAATTGGGGATTCAAAAAAATCTCTTTGAAATTTCGTCCATCATTAGTTCAAATTAAATTGTCACGTAAACTCGGTTAATTTTGGACTTGTTGACAAAAAATCAAAAGGAAATACTGGAAAATAAAGGAAGAAATCGATATACGGCTGGCGTCATATTTAGAGAATGCAGAAAATACGGAGAAATATTATTTAAGTTTAAAGCAAACCAAGATCTGCTGTTCAACCACATTCGACCATCCGACATGACGTCTTTTATGTACTGATTTGTTTCGAAATACATTCTGAAGAAATTTGATCCGCTGAAACTTGAAACGGTATTTTTGGCCGTATGTTGTGCTCGTCGTTCGACGGCAGCGATGTGGATGTTCTCAATAAAGACAATATTTGTCAAACAATATTTCCATATTAAAATGTAATGCCATATTATTTTTGTATCTTCCAAATTGTGCTTTCATTGTTTCATGTAGACTGATATGTGAATCTTATCTAAAGTATTTGGAATGGGTTGTCATAGGCTTAGTAGCAAAATATGTAGACTTGAAGCAGATATAATATCGTTGACGTTGTATTTGCATTGTAACCATAATTGTAACACTTTATAAAACAGTCTGCCTAGTCATAGAAAAGCGGCGGCTAGTTATACCTTTTAGTCTGCCAAGACCGCTGGATGCTATTTCTAAATGTTATTTCGATTTATTAGATTAGTGCTGGTATGTTTATTGTATATTAAATCATAATAGTAAAGCCAAAATGAAAATTTTGATTTATAGCATCCGCCATCTTGAAAACTTTACTCGGCAGGCGCTTTCGCCTCTAACCCGCATTTTGCGAACCAGTCTAAAATGCTCCCTAAGCGCCTGCGGAGGAGGTAGCATGAACGGTGAATCATAGCCATGCGCCCACGATATTTGATGAACTTTAAACTTCGCTAGCGCGTTCCTTTCCTCTGGTGTTAATAGCCGTGCGGAGTAGTACCCTCGCCCCGGGCTTTCGCCCGGAACGGCGCTCCGCGTCGTTGGCTCTGGGAAAACTACGGAGTTTTTAAAATACAATGCAGAAAGCAGAAATGAATGGACCAAAGAACAAAGCAATTGTATGTGTTCTACGTGGAAAAAACAGTAAAATTAGTCGGCTTGGCATTCGTCGAATTTTTTTTTTCGCAATTAAGAACTTAAGATAAGTGATTTAGAAAATACCGTCAATGCTTCTGATAAGAACGGCTAGATTTATTTTCGGGGAAAGGCAAAAAATACAATAATTTGAAGGATTGGGACTGCGCAGCAGGACGAAACCTACGATTTAACGTCTTTAACGGCCAATACAGCAGCCGATATGCTGAAAAGATTTGCAAATTAGTGTGTGTATCTTTTTCCCAGCATTTTAATTAAATAAACAGTTAGTCTCCGCCACTTTAGCGTCAAAATTATATGAACATTTTGTACTGAGAAGAACGAGTTCGAGAATCGATCGAAATTATAGAGAAATTATAATCGATCGAAATTATATGAACATTTTGTACTGAGAGAACGAGATCGTCTAAAACTTCTTGCAATAAAATACAAATCGGAAAATTACTGGGATGCTTATAAATCGTCTAGAAATCGCATAACAGATGCTTTGCGAGAAGCTAAAACAGCTTATTATCAAGTACAATTTGATAGAGTAAAACATGATCCAAAACAAGCTTGGAAAACTGTCAATAAAATCCTAAATCGAAAGCAAAAATGTCCAGATATAAACTCTGTCAAAACTCAGAATGGAGAGATAACCGATCCAAATGAGTTAGCGGAAAGCTTCAATGATTATTTTACTAATATTGGCCCAGATATTGCAAAAACGATCCATAAAGGTGACAGAAATTTCACGGATTACATAACTAGAGTAACTAGCAATTTTAAGTTCCAAGCTGTATCTGAATCGAAAGTTCATAGACTTCTTTTGTCTCTAAATCCCGGTAAATCTACCGGTATTGACAAAATTCCAGCTAAAATTATTCGTATTGCTTCCCCAGTAATTGCAAATTTCTTGGCAAAAATTTTTAATAGGGCAATCACCAGTGAATCCGTTCCATCTGAATGGAAAGCAGCGAGAGTTACACCTTTACATAAAAAAGGCCCTCGAAACCTGTTAAATAATTATCGCCCTATATCCATTCTTCCTGTTGTAAGTAAAGTTTTCGAAAAAGTATTATACGAACAGTTACATGATTATCTTGTTACAAATAACTTACTATCCCAACATCAATTTGGTTTTAGACGTAGTCACTGAACAGCATCCGCCCTTATAGATAGCACAAATGAATGGTTTGTTAATATGGATCGTGCCTTTTTTAATATTGCAGTCTTTCTCGACTTGCAAAAGGCATTCGACACTATTAACCACGTATTATTGAAAAAACTTGATTTTTATGGTTTAGAAACATCAGCTTTAAAACTCCTAAAATCGTATCTAGAAAACAGAACTCAAATGTGCTCTGTTAATGGCACACTTTCTCGTAAAAAATTAATTACATGTGGAGTCCCTCAAGGCTCAATTCTTGGGCCGCTCCTATTTTTGGTTTATATTAATGATTTGCCAAACAGTTTGGAGTATTCGTCAACAAGAATGTTTGCCGATAATACGACATTAACTGCATCTGGTAAATCAGTTGCTGATGTAGAAATGGCCATTAATTATGATCTTGCTAACGTAAAGCGGTGGCTATCTGCAAACAAACTATCCCTAAATCTTGTTAAAACTGAATACCTACTAATTAGATCTCGGCATAACGTCAACAATCTAGCCCTTAAGTTCTTTGTATGTTTGCATGGTGATAAAATATAATAGGTTTTGTTTGTGGAAACACCACGTAAATTTATTACTGTAATAAATTTACGTGGTGTTTCCACAAACAAAACCTATTATAATCTAGCCGTTGTTCCAAATGTGTTCGTTGGCGATGTACAAATTAAAAGAGTGAGAGAAACAAAAGCACTTGGAGTATGTATTGATGAATTTTTGTCATGGAATAAGCATATTGACAAAATTGCTAAGAAGGTTTCATCCGGAATTGGAGCGATCAGAAGACTCAAACCCTGTGTGGACCATAATACATTAATATGCGCTTATAACGCACTTATATTGCCCCACTTCGACTACTGCTGCGAAGTTTGGGATACTATTGGTATCACACTCTCTGATCGCCTCCAAAAATTATAAAATAGGGCTGCTAGAGTAATTACGGGTCGTAAAAACGAACACGGCCAATCTGAACTTGCTTTAAATGAACTAAACTGGAAAACATTGAAAGAACGCAGAACTCAATTTGTAGCAAGTCTTATGTACAAAATAACCCACGATCTAGCGCCCAAACAACTAATTGATATGTTTCAAAAGACGCCTTCGTCTCAACATTATAACTTACGAGGTTATGCCACAAATCTCTACCTGCCCAAACCTAAGACCGAATATCTTAAAAAAGGTCTTAGTTATAGACGAGCAAAATTGTGGAATGGCCTCCCAGATAGACTAAGAAGTAAATGTTCTCTTAGTCAATTTAACTTAAGTGTGCGGCACCTGGCCAGTTAGATAATGAGTTTATGAAATTTTATTTATTTGACCATAGTAGAGTAATTATAATTGTATAATTGTATTGTAATGTGTTAGTCTTGTATATATATTTATCCTAATTGAGTGTAACGTTTGTATTTTTAAACCTACGCCCCTCTTGGAAATCTGCTCTTGCTGTAGGGGTTAGCGTAGACAAATAAAGTTTTTACTTACTTACTTACTTACTTACTTACTTTTTTTGTTCCTTCGCTCGATTAAAAATTCAAGCGAGAGTAAAAGAAAGTGCGCGTGTGTACTGAGTACAATGTAAGGATAATTTCAATGTCGATCTTTTGAGTAAATTTTTTTGCTATGTAATAATATTATCTTCTACTTATATTATAAAAGAAATTGAAACACGCTTGAACGCTTCTCTCGTGTTCTCCCAACATTCCCGGCACAACAAACGCACGTACGCGAACCGTTATCTAAATTGTTTATAAGAATGACCTGATTACACAATGTTATAGTTGACTCTAAGCCAGTATAATTGTTCATAAATATAGTTCGCATCAAATTGTTTGTAGTTCGTTATTCAATAATAATTTTTATATTAATTTTCAGATGCTACATGATGAAGTCTGAGGAGATTGTTTTAAACTGATTTGCAGAAAACGAAGTGGAAATGTCTGGTGGTAAAAATAAGGAAATATTTGCATGCTAAAAGAAAAACATAAGAATGATTTAAAAAATAATTGTAAGTGTTTGAAAACAATGCAACAAATAGATTTTAGTTCATTCAATATTTGATTCTGCTGAGTTGTTTATTTTATTACAATACCAACGTATAATTAAATAGCTCTTCTTGCGTATAATATTTGCTTTAAACACCTGCCACGGCGCCGACAATACGTATATCAAATCGATGTTCAGAAAGTAGCTAGGTTGTTTCTTAAAAAAGGCTACCCTTTGAAGTCAAGCGTTAGTGCTGCATGTTCGAATTTGAATGCTTTAACTCCCTAATTAGCCCTGGAATGCGTAAAACGTTATAGCAGAGCATTTTTATGCATGCATTGCAAATTAATTGAAATTTGTTCCGCTAAAGTAACACAGAATGGAATGCATGAATATACATGTACATGTATAACGTTTTACGCATTCCAGGGTTCATTAGGGAGTTAATTAAAGCATTTTGGACAGTACTAACGAATGGTTCATTAATATGGACCGTGGTCAATTCAATATTGCAATATTGGACAGTACTAACGAATGGTTCATTAATATGGACCGTGGTCAATTCAATATTACTGTGAACGGCGTATTATAGGTTCAATTCTTGGGCCACTCCTCGGTTTCTAATTTATAAGTTAACGTCCACCGAAGCACGAGAACGAACGAATATGCAAGTATGTAAATTGTTTCATTGAAATCGCGAAAGCTGATTGGTTTGCATATTAAAACATGTACGAATCGACCAAAGTGAACGAACGAGTGAACGAATGAGTGAACGAATGACGAGTTAGTAACTATGGGAGATACGTTACAACCCATTCGTTACGACCTACTTACTACAAAACGGACATGTCCTGGTACGCTTTGTCAAGTTCAAACTCAAATTTCTTGCCAGTTTTTCTGTCACCGTTTATAGGTTAACTCTATGACATTCCTTGTACTGCGTATCATCATTATTAATCGTTGTTGGTTGTCTATGACGATGATCATACATAAACAGCTACGAATTGCTACGAATTAAACATTCTTAACAATGTTTCCCATACGAATGAATGCAAATGATTCCTATGTGCGTGCCAAACATTCATACATACAAATATTCATGTCAATGTGCTAAACAACTAGTGAACATATTAAGTAAAATGTTGTTTAGGCCAGCGCTTTGATTGTTTGAAACGCCCTGGAGGATAGAGAACACATAACATAACCTGGCTGAAACAAAACACACAATGTGGGCTGCCTTGACTGTATAGCACTGAGTATAGAATTCGTTGTCTGTGCATATTATGCATGCCTTTCAAACTTAGCGTTATAACGTACGCGTAAACCATAGTCCATAGTTTCAATAATGCTTCCAAGACAAGTAAGACGTATAGGCGAGGTGGAACGAGCCGTGATTCATGGAGATCGGTCCGATCTGGGACATGATAGCGAACGATATCGTGAGGCATGAGAGATTTCGTGAGATTCCTGCCAATGTGCAGGAGCTCTATGCTAATGTTGGAAATCGACGTGCAGCAAGAAGACTTCGCGATTTTATTGCAAGAGAACAAAGAGAGTAAATACGGCAGCATGTCGCGCACCAGTTGACGAAACGATTCCACGTTCTCGCTTGTCATCGACCAAAACAAATGCTCACACCTTTCTAATTCGCTGCAGAAATCTCTTCTCGGGAAATGTGAGCCAACGAAGTCGGGGTTTAGAATTTGTTCAGTGCGAGCTCTTTGTAAAATGGACTGAGCGCACGTTGCTATTAAACTGAGCAGCGCATAGAGCTGCCTGATACAGGCAAATAAAGCATTCAATTCATCTTCGTCAATTATTTCTCTCTGATCTGTTGCCTCTTCTATGGCCGCATGGATTACATGTATATAAATTGAATATATTGCGTGAACAGCATTCTGAAGATTTACGAGTACTATATTTATGACCTCAACGTCGTCTGCCATATTTCGTTTTACCTCCTCAACAAACAGAAGCTCAAATCACTTTAATTAATCACACATGCATGCGCATACGAAATTGCATTTAGTTTAACAACAGTGCACTCTTTCAAAATTTGAATCTGAAAATGTGGACTTTTTTCTATACAATCTGTACGTACTCATGCAGCAAATTGCTTCATACGAATAGAAATATTTACACAGCTGATCACAAAGAATTTTAACACGATAGCTCAACTAACGAAACGAATATGCTAATTAAATTTGTCTCAGCCAATTGAAACCGTTCAGTTGAACGAATGTGGACGGTACAGTCGTTCAGTTAATGAGGCTATTCGTTCGTTCTCGTGCTTCGGTGGACGTTAACTATATAAACGATCTGCCTACAAGTCTTGAACACTCGTCATGCAAGAATGTTTGCCGACGATACAACGTTAACTGTATATGGTAAATCTCTTCATGATGTAGAAGTTGCCATCAATCACGATCTTTCAAACGTTAATCTGTGGCTCTTTGCAAATGAGCTATCTTTAAATCTCGTTAAAACTGAGTACATACTAATTGGATCACGACATAATTTTAATAATATATTGGCTACCCCAAAGGTATTTGTTGGTGACATACCAATTAAAAGGGCAAGAGAAACAAAGGCACTTGGAGTTTATATTGATGAATTTCTATCATAAGAAAAGCATATTGATAAAATTGCCAAAAAAGTCTCATCCGGAATTGGAGCAATCAGAAAGTTAATATCATGTGTAGACCGTAATACATTAATTTGTGCCTATAATGCACTTGTTTTGCCTCACCTTGATTACTGTTGCGAAGTTTGGGACACCATTGGTACCACACTTCCTGATCGTCTCCAGAAATTACAAAACAGGGCTGCTAGAGCTATCGTGGGTCGTAAAAATGAACGTGGTCAATCTGAACTTGCTCTTAATGAATTAAACTGGAAGCCTCTGAGCGAACGCAAAACCTTGTTTGTGGCAAGTCTTATGTATAAAATTACTCATGATCTAGCGCCCTTACGACTTACTGATATTTTTCAAAAGACGTCTTCCTCCCAGCACTACAATTTACGTGGCTCTTACAGTAAACTCCATTCGACCAAGCCTAAGACTGAATATCTTAAAAAAAGACTTAGTTATAGAGGGGCTAAACTGTGGACTAACCTCCCAAATGAAATAAGAGGAAAAGAATCACTAGCTATATTCAACAAAAACGTATGACACCTGGCTACTAATTAGAGTTTCAATACCTATTTACCGATTAATATTTACTATAACCTGTTTAATTATGTATGTACTAAATGTATTAACTGCATGTAAGTAACTGTATTTGTATGTTTAATTTTTCTATTTTTTTAGGAAATCTTTGGAAATCAGATTTCGCTGTAGGGGCTAGCGTAGTAAAATAAAGTTTTACCCACCTTTTACCTACCTATATGCGTATATTCGCATGCCACAGTAAGGAAACATCATCATAAGTTGGTACGACTGTTAGTAAATGTATATTGCAAGCATGCACTTATTATAGAATCGACCCGAGATGTTGGGTAGTCAAAAATTTCACAGTCACTAGTATTTTGACAAATTGTAAATGTTTATAATCATGTGTAATGACTTAGTTATGCGTAGAAAAAATTACACAAGCTGCGACAATTATTTTAAAATAAACTGTAGCAAGTATGCTGCATGATACGCTTGCTTCAGCACGTTTGATAGCGATCTATTTGTGCCGTGAGCATTTTGAGCCGGCTGAGTTTTAGTCGGAACTATTTTCATCCCATATGTTGTTAAATTGCTGAAATGTAGCCTGTGCACAACACAAACCTTTCTAGCTCGGGTTGAAAGACACGATCGTGATTTGAAGCATTTTCGGCTATTTGATTTGTGTGTTTATGGTTACATATACAGTTTAAACAAACACGCAAAACAAAGCTATTTAGACGATTTTTTAAAAAATATTTGTGATCACATGCTGCCCGGACTGTGTCGCGTTTCAGTCTGGGTCAAACCGGGCTGGTATTTCAGCCCTTGATATTAATTGTTCATAGTTATCAACTGTCAAAACCTACAGTAGCTCATGTTTCATTCGGTGTCGGGATTTTCCGATGGGAGAACGCGGTTTTTCCAAGTTTCCTCTGGAACGTGTTCCAACCGCGTTCCGACCGCATTCCAACCGCGTTCCGACCGCGTTATTTCTGAGCAGTACTGTATTTTATTAGATGGTAACCAATTTTGAAGAGAAAATCCCATTTAAACAAGTAGCTATAGTAGCTACCAAAACCAAAGAAATGAGGCATTTTAAAAAGAAGTTCCAAAGATACAGTCATGCTCCCAGGTCCACTGCCTCAAATATATCAATACGCCTTATAGTTACTAGAAATACATGCATGCAGCAACCCATCGCCCATATTTTCCAAACATTGATTTAACATGAGGTATTAGTAATTGGTCAACACTCAACGCAGGTTCGCATTTACGTCAGTATTGCCATGGCAACACAATCAGTTTAATTTTTATTATACTTTTGTGCAATACGACAAAAACAGTCGAAAGATTAATGCTATGTAACAATGAATTTCCGAGGCATGTACTGTAAGTATGTTGTTCTGGATTTTGCGAGCTTTGATTTAATGTAAGATATGTTCATTTTAATAACTAAACTGCTTTTGCATAACCTGTTTTTACTTCAAATTGTTGAATAAGTTCAGTTAGGTCTTCAAAGTAATTTGCTCTCTTTTACATTTATCCTTTTTTCATAAATTAAACATGGTAATTTAGGAAACTTACAGCTTCATTGAAAAGGAAAACAACAGTGCATGTTTTACGCAACAAAATTCATAAACATTAAACTTTCAAAGCAAACTTGCCCTATATTTCACGATTTTCCAAAGTAAATCAATTCTTCTCATTTTTTCAAACAAAAATTTCTTCAAATCTCATTGTGTGAAACGTGATTTTCCAAACACACGCTTTTGAAAATTGAAATCTTGCTTTAATATCCTCAGTGTTTTAATCCCACTCCTGCAAACTGCCATGTTTTTGAGATCAGTGAGGAGGTCCACCCTTGGATCATAGCCATGCGCCCACGATGTTTGATGAACTTTAGACTTCGCAAGTGCGTTCCTTTCCCCGGGTGTATATAGCCGGGCGGAATTAGTACCCTCGCCCCGAGCTGACGCCCGGAACGGCGCTCCGCGCCGTTGCCTCGGGGATAACGTGTAACGTTTTGAAGTATAACATTATACAATTTATAACGTTGTAAAATGGAGCACGATAAAATATTTTTCAACATATACTTGGGAAATGGAGTGTAATTTGCGCGCATTTTGATTTGATTGCTCACCTACCTCCACGGACAAAAACAAAATGGCTTCCCGTTTCATTCTCGCCGCGTTTCCCAAAAGAAGCAAAGAAAACCACACAAATTTTGTTTAACTTAAAAGCTTTGAGTATTTAAAGACGATTTCCACTCCGTTCTGCGCATCAGTTCTGCTCATAACAAAGGGGGACCCCCAGTTATAAACATTGCCCAAATTTTGCATCTTCCGAACTTTTTTGAATTGAAACGTACAGTTTATATTCATTTACAAGCATGGCGAACCAGAACCAGAAAAGTGTTAGATATTCAGTTAGTATATCATATTTTACAAATATAGAAATTCAAAAACGTAAACAAAGTTCGCGCATGTGCACAGGAGTGGACATCGTCTTTAACCCTATTTGTACCGAGGTTTTTTCATGTTCATATGACCGGGGGTGCGCTGATAGGGCGCACCCCTCAGAAATTCTGTCGATTAACTGGCATTATCCTATAAGTTTTATTTTTAGTAAGTTTTATCTTTCTTTAACCTAAAAATAACAAAAAAGTTAAAGTCACATCCAAAATGCTGTTTTTTGGCCCCATTGAATATGACCGCCTTTCCAAAAATGGCGTATACAGCTAATATTTTACCCATTTTGGCTATATTTTGCAAAGATATAACAAAACATTTTCGATGTGATATTTGTTGGGTCTTTTATATTCAAAAGACATACTTTTATGTTATAGCATATCTCAGATGTCAATAAACACCACTATTATACTTTCCAAGTTGGCATTTCTGTGTCATATGAAAAGACATTCAACTTAAAACTTACCTGTCTCTCATATAAACAATCCAAATCATTTTCAAGTTTCAACATCACTCATTTTACCGTCATATCACTGTGACAGTGTCGTTGTTGTAATAATGTTCCATAAATTGCATAATATTTGCAATTGTGCATTCTGTTGAAGCTCGAGCTAGCACTTTTTTGGCATAACTTCTTTAGTCTTAGTGTAAACATAAAACATTACACTGAAGTCGACCAACAAAAGCTTGTAGAAAAATACGAAATGGCCACCATGTTTTTATACCAATATCCTATCTGTGACATGAAGTGTAAGGCAGGTGAGCTACGAACTACAGCCTGCAGTATAGTTTGAAATTAAAACACAATATTTACTTTGAAAATCTGGATTTTATGCAAAAGATTTAACTCTAAATTTTCAAATTTCTTGTACGAAAGTGTTCAATATATAATGCTTCTCAAATTCATTAATAATTCATAAGTAATTCAGCCAATGATAATCACCTATTTGATCACAAGATGCTATTTGGATACTTGATGAAAGTCACTAGTGTTTTCATCAAATATCTTAATTACGCATGCAAAATTACTTGAATAGAATTCCTAATTACGTTATGCTTGGTTAAGAATTCTATTCAAATCAGCAAACGAAAACATTCTGTTACGTCTCGATTCATTTGAGAAGCCATATAAACAACTCGAGCTCGTGTCTCATCGGGATATCCAAACACTCGAAAACAATGTATGAAAACACTCGCGCTTCGCGCTCGTGTTCTCATACATTGTTTTCTCGTGTTTGGATATCCCGGTGAAACACTCGCTCTCGTTGTTCATATATTACATCCTACACGTTTGGTGCTTGCTTAAAGACAGGGAGATGTTATGCCTTGAAGGTACAAAGAAATATGTGTATTTGAACATATAAAAATATTATAAATAAGTATTTTATATTATATACTGTAAGTATTGTATATTATGCTATATTATATGTTATACTATATTTTACTATTTTATATAATATATTATGGATATTTTACTTTGCAAATCATGTGTAATAATGCATCTTTATATGTTCTCTAATTATATTATGTTATTTATGTCCTGGGAAGTGATTCAGGCAAAAAATACAGTCCAACCCACATTTTCCCATATTTGGCCCCGACACCTTGTTTGACCAATCTCGGCAAATGTCCGGATAACATTGAATTTTCAGGAAAAAATTTTCGCAGTCATGACGGCAGAGGAAAAATATTAAAAATCATAAAAGCATAGGCAAATTGGATCATTTGTTCAGTGTTCAGGAATGACGGAAAAATATTTATAGGGGTGCGCTCATTGTGCGCACCCCCGGTACAAATAGGGTTAAAGGTAACCTACAAAACTATTTCGTTTAATTAACGCAGTTGCGGTTAGGATAAAATATCTTTACGTGATGAAAAACAGATTCTGAACAATAAATATACATTCTTTTGTAGATATCAATTGTTCGTGAATGTTTCAGTAATTATTGTTTCCAGAAGTGGATGTGAAAAGTATAGACCACTACAAAGCGAAGATGAGAAAAACAACACCAAACGTTTTAAAAAAAATCACTAATTTTGTTTAAGAACAACAATACGCGATGCTTGACTTCCAAAAATAACATAGGCTACACGATTGCAACTATACCGCTAACATTGCATAACGTTATTAATAATGATCGATTATACATAAAAAATGTTGCTGGACTGTGATCGGATGAATTCAGTGTAGTTGATCGCAAACAGCAGTGCGAAATTGTCCAACAGTTGCGCAACAATCCGTAAGAAACGTGCAAAAACCTGTAACAAACTGATCTGATTGGTAGTGGGATGCTAAATCTGAAAATTAGCTTAAAGAAGTCGTTAAGTAACGGCCTCGGCCATTACTTGACCGAGCACTACATAAAGTTAAAGTTGAATATATGAGTATACATTTTTAAATTGGAAAGATTTTACCTTAAACAAGGTTGACAAAACGTACAGGGGTTGTGTGACATTTTCAAACCACTAGGGTCGTGTAATGTGATATAACACAGCAGGAAACTTTGTCAGTTGACGTTTCTCTGTAAACCAAAGTTAAAAATAAAATTGTCTCTAACACTTTTATGCATATGGTTGATCCGTAATTGGATGGTTTCTCTTGAAATTTTGATAAAATAAGTATTCGTGAGTTTTTCAATGCCCTCAAATACTCGTGTTATCTTGATGCTCCTTGAAAAACTCACTGGTTCATGTTTTATCCAAAATTCACTCGAACCCATTATATTACCTATACAAAGAAGCCCTCAAGGTACCGTTTTAGGCCCAGTTCTTTTCTCAATAATGGTTGATGATATTAAAACTGCTGATCCTAGTAATGCGTTAGTCAAATTTGCTGACGATTTGACGTTAGGTGTGCCTGGCAACGAAAGTGGTGACACATCTCGATCTGAAGCTGCCTGTTTACAGCATTGGGCAGAAGAGAATAGAATGCGCTTAAACTTGGAAAAAAAACGTACGAAATGGTTGTTCGCAGACACACCTCTGTAGTTTTGCCTGAGTTTATCCCTTCAATTAGCGAAAAACATGGCTAAAGCTTTTAGGAGTTACTCTACAAGATAATCCGTGCAACTGGGATTTGCACTTCGAAGAAATGCTCAAAAAAGCAAGTGGACGAATGTACATTATGAGAGTTTGCAAATACTATTATGGACTATCTATTAAACAATTAGATCTGCTGTTTGATAGCCTAATTATGTCGATATTCATTATTGCTATTGAGCTGTGGGGTTGTGCATATGACGGTAAATATTTGAACCAAATAGATAAATTCATTAAACGTGCACATAAGAATGGTTATATATCAAAACGAACACACATTAAAGAAATACGTGGTAAGAGAGATAAGAAACTGTGGAACAAAATAACATCAACTGAGGACAATGCGTTGCTTGAACTGCCGCCGGAAAAAAGAAGTAGGTTACTTAGGCCTAGAGGGCATGAGTATGAACTCCTCCTAGTGAGAACAGAAAGATTCAAAAGGTCGTTCATAAATCGTTATCTGTATAACTTTGTTTAGACTTTAATGTATTTAAAACTTTTTAAAACTTTTTACGCTTCTTAACTTACATTGTAAATATAACTATCTAGATCAATTACCTTTCGATTGTAAACTCAGACGGATGTATCTGAGTATTTTAATAAAGACTATTATTATTATTATTATTTTTATTATTATTATTTTATCAATTCAAGTAGACATTGATAAACTACCTGTAAAGCGAGGTTTATCATTGTAGTTGTATATATCCTAATAATCAATAAATAAAGTTTCCATTATTATTATTATTATTATTATTACATTTTGGACTATAACTCATAAGTTACTTTTGATTTGGAAATGCTTCAGGAGCTCGCAATTCTTCAATGAAACTTAAAATTAACTTTTTCGTGACATGCGGCATAACGCAAATGTGAGAACAGATCCTTCGATCGAACGTGCCGTCCGCAAATTTTATATTTAGTAAAATTGAAGCCAATGAATAACGACGCACGATATCTTGTCTTGGTTGCTTGAAGCAGACAAACAATGAACCTGGTGTGTGTGAAATCCATAAGTCCACACGTAGTTCTTTTTCTAGCTCTTGCAAACTGCTTAGTAAAAATATCACCACTTGGTCTTCACGGGCAGCTATTTCGGCAAAATCCCGGTATGATTTATTTGAGAATAGTTCCCACATTACTAACACACTATGGCCACACCTGGAACCAGACATAGTGCTATCGTGACCACCAAGAAACAATGGGTTGTCATGAGGTTTAACTTGATCCGGTTTTCTAATCATAAATACTGCCGAAGGGAAAGGACAGCCTAACCATTTGTGCAAGCTCGTTGCAATGGATTTCACTTCAGGAATACGGAAATCAAATACAGGAAAACCATTTGGAAACGTATTGGCAACCAAACCCTGATTTATCGCCATCTCAAGAAATGGAAGATGGGCTCCTCCTAGGGCACCGTCAATATGAAACCAAAATCCATTTCGAACGTCAGATTTGAATGGGTCTTCCGAACTATGTACAAGGCGTTCGTACATGTTGTGTTCTTTCAATATAGGCGCAAGCTCATTGATGGCAGCTCGTGGATTATCGTAGGCACCCTTAAATGTGGTACCACTTGTGAAAACTACGAGCGGAGGGTAGCCTCTCATAACAAAGGCAGTGACTAGTTTCACAAGGCATGGGATGCTAATCGACCCATCCGCTTCTACAGGCACTGCACGTGGCCAGCCGTTTTGATCAAGGGATTCTTCATCAAAACTGGAAGGGTAATCGTCTGGATATTTCAACGGGCAAGAAAAATATCCGCTGCCAACATCACAAAACTTTTTCATCTGTAACATTCTTAATGTTTTTGCAAGGCCGTGAAAGCTTTCTTCTGAAAGGAATACAACTGGTGTGAAAGCGTTAGGATTGTCCTTTGGCTGCACATTTGATAATTTTTCTTTGCGTTGTCTGTGGGACGAAACGGGAGGCTTGACAGGAGGACTACACGTATTGCACAAGATGGGATTACTGAGAGGCATTCCGGCTAAGTATTCCCTTGCATTATACAATGCGAGATGATTAGCTTCGGTGCAGCCCATGGACGTAACGTAACCCCAGTATTTCCGTTCTTCCTCATTTGAAGGATCGGATTGCTGTATCCCCCAGAGCTTAGCAAAATAATCCAGCACGCTACATTCTATGATCTTAGTATTCAGCGCATATTGCACTTGTGCTGAGAATGGATCTCCAACATTGTTCAGTGCAATATCAAAAAATGGTTTTACTCTTTCGCAGGTAAAACTTTGATTACTCTGAAAACCAAGAAGCGCATGTTGATGAGATAATAAGTTGTTGTGGAGCTGGCTCCAAGTAGATTCTCTTTGCTCAGGTGTAAGTCTATGCTGGGATAATCTTGCATCCTCTTCGCGGTCTAATGGATGCTTGCGGTACTTTTCAGTAATGGTTTGGCCTTCTTTCATAACATCATCCGCGTTTTTTAGTGGAGTGTTCCGGATCCTAAACGAAACAGAACAAATATGATCAGAGAATCTAATGTCTCAAATCAGATTGGGAAATAAAAACGCACCATAGGCAACGACTTGCTCTGGATGTTAAATTATTGCCAATAATATTCATGCTTTTAATAAAATAGTGGCTGCTTTATGTAATATTTAAAAAAAAAATCATTAATAATTCATGAAGAAAATACAAAAGACATCGCTGCCGTGTCCATGGTTTTATATGTGATAAAAAATCATGTTCATTTGCAAAAACTTTAGTTTCATTTTCAAGGCTTAGACAACGTTTAATTAAAACTGCTTCGCCAATGAACTCATCAAATATAGTTCGTTTTTAACTCCATGATGCACACTCTCCTTGAAAACCTGGCGACAGAGCAACGTCGCCCGTTTTGGCTAATCATAACTGTTGAAGTACATTGCTACCTAGACATTTTTCTTGCATTTTAGATGTATCATTTAAAACTCGACCAGGAGTGTTTTAATAGATATGAAATAAGAGAGCGCAGCTCTCTCAACATAATGTTTAAATGCTAAGCACGCCGAGTTTAAATGTATTCAAAATCTGCAAAAGGACTTAGGATTGTGCTATATAGTAACGTCACAATAAGATTAATTTAAGCATGTCGTTTAGATAAATTAAGCTAAATGCTTAGGGCTTTCAATTACTTCATTTGGCAATATTTGGCTACAACACTTTATACTAGGGAAGCCGTGCACATACAGCAATCTTTACACGAGACTGTTCAAATTAGGAATCATAAAATGAGAATGTTCCCAAAACTGTGAACAGCTGACTTGCAGACATGTCCCATCTCTTACCGCACATCAAAAATTCATGGATAGCATTTCTTTTCATGTATAACCTGGTAATTGATGACTTCATTAAACCTTTTGCTTTCTGTCCACATGATGTTAGGGAATGTACCCTTGCGAAAATAACTATATTATATTGCTATTTTAAAACTATTTTATTACTATCATCCCTATTTTTATGCTATTTTATTCAGAGGCAACCCTATTTTAATTGAATCATAATATTTCACGAAAAGAAAGAGCCATATTTTATTAATGTTTTATTTTATTTTATTCCTATTTTTATAGATAATAGAAATAAAATCGCATATTTTAATACTATTTTCCAGAGCCTCAGGGAAAAAATAGGTTTAAAATAGCCTATTTAAATT